AGGGCAACCCCAGGCCCATCACATCTGCACCTTTTCTAACAGACCGCCCCTCTGCCCGGACTTTTCCCGGTCCACTTATAACCCTCAGAACTCAGTTCAGCATCACCCCCCAGAAGTGCTCCTGGTGCTTCCCCAGCTCTTGTCCTCCCTTGGTTCAGGCCTGGCCCGTCACACTGATCTTTTCACACGCTGTTGCTACACAAAACAGGGAGCGCCTACTGTTTAGGTGTCACCCTGATCTGTCTTTGAGACTCCAGAACCTAGATCTGTGCTTAAAGCACAGAAAATGTTTTTCAAACGTAAAAATTAATGGACATAGTGATATCATGTCATTGCTTTCTTGAAAATACCAAAAAAAACCCCAAAAAACAAAAAAAAAAAGGCAACAAAAAACTGCATATGTAAAATCACATCAAATTTAACTTCAGCATGGTATTTAAGTAACTAACTCAACTATCTCAAAAAGAAACCTAGTTTTTTACCTAGGGGAAATCTGCTTTAGAATTTCATAAGTAAAAATGACTTTATAAAACGATTCAGGCTGAAGGGAATCTAGTCATTTAAAATCTTATTCCTTTAAACTTTAAACGGTAATAAAAATATGTATATGCTCCAAAACACTTTTACAGACATTAACACATCTGAGCCTAACAAAAACCCAAAGAGACAACAGCATTTCCGAATCCAACCTTTGTCCTGTTTGAGAGACTCTCTGACAGTAAAGAGCAGACTGTGATGTCCGAGGGCAAAGCTCTGCCCTCTTTGATCAACCAAATGACCCTACAAAGCTGTGTTTTGGGTCTGGATGGAGCCAGACCAGGCCCCCTCTGCGTTTTGGGCACTCACATAATTGGCATGCAGCACAGTGAAGAACTCGGGGTTGGTGATGAACTTGACCGCCGGGGACTGCAGCAGCAGGGTGATTTTTTGTGAGTTCACTGGAGAAAGTGACTCTTCTCTCCTCAGATCTGCAGAAAGTGAAGCAAAGCCACAGAGCACTCTGGGGAAAAGCCATTCACAGACAGTATTTCTCTCACCTCAGCAGCAGCAAACAATGTCCACCCACCCAGCTGACCGTCATTGTTGATGGCAACATGACCAGGTGCCACATCACGCCAGTCACGAAGCGTCACTTCCTGGCGGAGTTCCTGCACAGCTTCAGTCTGCCTCAAGTGCTCCAGCATCTCCTCCCTGTCCCAGTGACTTTTCTCCTTTTCTCTACAAGTTGCTGACCACAGATATGACAGATTGTCTGCAGAAAGGGCCAGTTCTCCCCTCGCTGTGTCGCATGCTCTGCAGTGGCTCTGCAGCTCCTCCCCTGTTGAGGGGCTGGCCTGTGCAGAGGGGACACAGTGATGGCACCACAGCTCTGAGGCAGGGCTTCAAGAGCCTGCATGTCCTCTCTCTCTAGCATCCCTGCCACCACCGCAAGAGTGAGCTGGGGCCAGCCTGCTGCAAGAGGAGAAGCCATGGCAAGCAGGGACAAGCCACCCTGCTGAGGCTTCCTCAGACCCATCAGCCCATGGCCAAGTTGACGGCTGCCCCAGATGTCTGTGACCCCAGCAGCAGCCAGAGTGGCCAGCTGAGCTCAGCTTGTCACCAACCTACAGAACTGCGGGCTAAATGCAGTGCTGTGAGTCTAGGCCAGTACACTTTGGGATGGTGTGTTACAGTGAATGCAAACTGATCCAATACCAAACCCAGAGATAAATTTTCTGTTCCGTTTTTCCTCATGTTTCTTGACCATTGTACCCCATCTCTCTCAGAAGGTCAGACAGACAAACTAATAACAGAAAAGCACAAATTAGTCCATTTAGTTAGCATATCCGGCAAAGTGAATAGAATATAAGCAACTTAAATTGCTGGAGAAACTGTGTATGTGCATTTAAAAAAATCACGGGAAAATGTCCAATATTCCAGACTAGCTTAGATAGCCGGGAAAATCAGTCTACCATCATTCAACCCAATTTAAAAAGAAAGTGGATTATTAGGAATGTCACTGTGATAATCTTGTATCATTACAGGTATGAAAAGTGGAAGCCGGTCTCGTGTCTTTGGATTATCCTCATCTGAGTTCCACTTGGGCAGATTCAAAGAAATGAAAACCGAGAAAGCCAGGCCCCGATGGGGCCGCTACAGTGGGTAAAAATGCTCTTGCTGGTGCTCAGCACGGCCTCTGCAAAACCTCTTCGCTCCCTGGGTCCTCAGGGGGGGGATACTGAATTTTATTCTAAGTGCAAACAAGTAATCATCCTAGTGTTGTCAGGTGGCTCCTTTGACATAGACTGTGAATTTGTATTGCATGTGCTATTTTATAGGCAGAAAGTCTTAAGGACACTAACAAATAAATTTACTTAACAACAAATGACTAAAGCACGAAAAAAGCGGTCTTGATGCACCAGTACCGTAGCCAACTCAGCCTGTCCCCAGAGTTCATTGGCTTTGCTGTCTCTGCACGACCGAGCCAGGGTGGGGGGCTCTCTTTACTGTGGGCGCACCTCTCCTGAGCGTCCTGGGGAAGCTCCACTCCGCCCTGTCTGCAGCAGGGCACCTGCTCCTCCTCCGCCCATCCCGTCCTCTTAACCGGGGGTAACCGTTACCCCACCAGGCAGGGCGAGGGGCTCTCACGCTTCTGCCACGCAGCCACCCCAGTGTCTGGGGGCCCCTCCTCCAATACCTAAGCCCGACTGGGAAGATTCGGCCTCTGAGTCACTCCCTCCACCTCCGCCTCCTCCTGCTGGGACTTGCTCACTGCTTTGGCTGCCAGAGTCTTCTTCAGGCCTCTCTGTTGCAATGGTTCGCTGAATATTTTGATACCTTTTGCATTAGAAAACAGAAAGACAGAGGTTAACTTTTGTTTGTTTGCTTATTGGAGGCTGATGCTCTGAAGCAGATCATTAGAGAAGTCTGTAAAGAATTGTCTTGAATGTCAGGAAAGAAATGCTTAGGATTCCCATAAGACAGCCAAGGCAATTAGCAAGACAAGTATCTCAAGATTATTTTACTTCTTTTCATTTTTCAAGCTATTGTGAGTTTCAAGTACGGTGACCTTCAAAAAGTCAACACAAATAATAACTAATCACGCAAAACAGCCTGTTCCCTGTATTACACAACATCAGGCTAAGTCTACACTAAGGGTTTGGGAAGTAAATTAAAATGTTACAACTAAGATAATCAAATTATCTCTACATTACTCTAACAAGTCTACAAACTGGAATAATACTTCTACTCACCCATTTTTGCTTGATAGGTAATTGATACTGTTGGGCAGTGGCTGTGGAAATATTATACCTAAAAGCATGCTGGCTGACAAATAAATATTTTCTGCTGATTCTAAGGCTCATTTTAGTTTTCTTCCCGAGTTGAGGATTCAGTTGGCCAGCCAGTCAGTCACTTTGCCAGGTACTAAATGTTTACTAACCTCTCCAGTGTGCACAGGCTCTGTGCTGGACTTCCAGGTCAAGGAAGGGTAAGAATAGAGTGCTGCCCTGTGAGCGTGCACATCCGCAATGGCACAAGGGGGGCTGGCACGCAAACCACACCTCTAGCCACGTGAAGGCAGTCACAGCATGTGAGAAGTGTGTGGGACACAGACAGCAGGCACCTGAGGTATATAAATTTTGAAGTCGGAATATGAACTTATCTGGAAGCTTGTAAGGAAAGAACTTTTTCAGGAGAAAACAACCTGCACAAAAGCCGGGTGCCCTTGGGGGGTGCACAAGCAGTGAAAGGTCGCAGAGGGGAGGAGGGGAGCCCGGCCCACCCCGGAGTCTCTGATTCCAAGAATCTGCATTTCTGACTAGTTTCCAGGTGATCCTGGTTCTGCTGGTCTAGGGATCAACTTTGAGACTCACTGCTCTAGGTGATGGGGAGCTGCAAAAAAAGAGAGACAGGGACAGATGTACACTGAGAAGGATCCCCCAGCATCAGTGTGGAGAATGACTTGGAGAGGCTCCTGGGCAGGAGGCAGCAGGGAGCTGCTTTAACAGTCTAGGCTGAGAACACTGAGGACCTACACCAGGCAGGTGTGGCAGGTCCTGTTGGCTTTCTAAGCATGCTGCTGGGGGAGGGGAAATACTCTCCAGTTTCCCCAGATCAGCAGTGTCTGCCAGGAGAATCCTCACTGACATTTCCTAAACCACCTGCCCTGGAAAGCCTGCTCTGCTAGTTCACGAAATTCTGTAGGTGACCTCCAGCTAATTCCTCTCTGCTCCACTCTGCTTCTCTCCCTCCGAGCAGCCTCTCTCCCCTCGCTGTGTGACCCTTGTGCTGTCTGATGTCTCTCAGCCTACCAAGGCAACATGACCAGGGATCAGCATCCCTTTTCCTCAGGACACAGTGGGGATGAGATGAGGTTGAATTCAAGAGCTATTGAACAGTAGAATTTGTCACACTGTAATGTTGCAAGGAGACTCAACAGATTCGGGGCCTGACTGGATATGGAGGTTGAAGACAAGGGAGGAGACAAGTGGGAACCTCAAGGTTTCTGTTTAGACCAGGTGAGCAGAGGTGCCAACACTGAGAGAGTGCACGCAGGAGGATGGCGCATGAGGGGAGAGGGTGTGAATGTGCACGTCACTCAGAGGTCCTCAGGCCATGCAAGCCCAACATCCAGGGGCATGTGGCGTGCATGGGTCTAGTGCCCAGGAAAGTGATGTGGGATGGAGGGAGGGCTGGGGAGGAGGAAGGTGGCCTCAGTAGCAGGGAATGACCAGGTCTCCAAGTGCAATCCAAGAAGTGGGTGAGGCGGGTGCACTGCGGCACAGACAGGCTTGGCGGCAAGACTTCTGAGGCCTGGCACCCCGTTCTGGCCTTGACCTTACAGAGGAAGCTGTGGGCAGTGTGGTCTCCAGACCACCCGCAAGACAGTCATCTGGGTGATGGTTAAAATAACAGAAACTGAAGCAAAGCTGAGATCTTTGTTTCTAATGTGTACTTTAGGTAGTATTATTTACACCCAGGTCTGGAGAGACTCCGCCACTCACTTCTGACACTTGCCAGAAGACACCTTCTCCTGTGGTAGTTACTGTGAGTGGTTTGCTGAGAAGGCCTCTTCCACAGACGTGGAAGGGAGCAGTGAGGCGTGATCATGGAGATCAGAGAGAAACATCTGCGTTTGTCTGCTGCCTGGACATGTCTGCAGTATCTGCAGTCGGAGGTTGCGGGGAAGGTGGGGGAGGCCTTCTGTGATCTTCTCCCTGCTGGAACTCGGGTGACGCAGCCATTCAGGAGGCAGAGAGGGCCCGGGAGAGGATGCCTGAGCAGGCAGGCTGGACTGGGGGTGCACGGGCTGCCAAAGAGAATGCTAGGAGCATTCCCCTAACGACTTACAGCAGGCTGCATTTTCCCAACATGGCTTGACAGTATTTTTGGTACCACATGCTCTTCTAGAACCTATTAATCTCCTTCTCAGAGATGGAATCGATGTCCCCTCCCCTTGGATCTGGGAAGGCTCATGGCTCCCTTGCCTGTCAGACTGCAGCATAAGTGATAGTTTGTGATGGGCTCAGCAGCCACCTTGTGAGGCAGCCCAGGCTCATAGAAGGCCCCAGGGAGGTGTCTTGGCTGATAGCCCAGCCAGGAGCCAGAGCCACCTCCAGATATGTGCGTCTCCAGCCCCAGCCATGAGATACCCTGAGAGAGCACTGCCTTGCTAGGCCCAGTCAGACCAGAACCATGAGCAATACTGATAATGACAATAATAAATGGTGGTGGTTTCATGCCACCACGTTTGGGGCAGTTGCTCACTCAGCAATAGATACCCAGAACAGGGCTTAGACAAATGTCAGGTCGTAACCTCTCTTTTTCTTCCCAAAGCACGGTGACCACAGCAGAACATTTTAATGGTAAATATGATCTTACTTGGTGATGAAAACATCAGCAATGTCACAAGCTGCTTCATGTGTCCTCATTTGGACCTGGGTTACCTCATGCCTTCCCAAGTCAACAGCCTCAAACACCAGGTGCAAAGCCCACCCTGATCTTTCCTGAAGCACTCGGCAGTTTGGGGAAGCAGAGCAAGGGTCTGACAGGCACCTCCTGCAAGGGCAGTGCTGCAGCCTCAGGGGCTTGCCCTGCTTTAAAGAGAGGAGGGGGAACCAGAAAGCCAGTTCTCTTCCATTTCATCAGGAATTATGTGCCAATGTTCCCCATTTTTTTTTTGCAGCCAAATATTAAACATTTATAGTATATAAAGGACTCATGGAAATTGGTAAAAAAGTTCCCTAAAATATCTAATTTGTAAATGGACACATACACACACTAACACACACAAAACACAAATAAGAAAAAAAAAAAAGAAATCCAAAACCAAGCCAAATCGACCAAACAAATAAGCAAAACTCAAAAATACCCTCAAACAGACAATTCACATGGAAGGAATAAAATTATTAAGAAAACCTTATGTAAATGAGTTGAGCCTTTCTCCAGAAAGAAAAACATAAGCAGTACTTAACACTAAGCGCACTTCTTAAATCAGCAAAAACAAACCAAAAGACGGATGTGAAGCTGCTGTTGTTGGCAGAGTGAACCCAAGAACCACTTCAGAAAATAGTTAGGCATTGATACCAAAAACCCAAACCACGTTTCCCTAGACCTGCGCTCTTGGGAACAGAACCCTAAGAAAACACTCTATCATAAGGCGATCTTAACACTCAACAGGCCCTTGGTGGCTTTATCAAAAATAGTGATAAAATCAATAAGCAAAACATTCAACAACATGAGAAATTAAGTTAACTAAAGTATAGCCATTAAATAGGATACTATACAAGCATTCAAATGTCTGAAGACTATGCAGCAATATAAAAATGCTGACAGTGTGGTAAGTGAAAAATGAATGTAGCACTAACTGTACATTACCATTACAACCACGTAGGGATTGTGCATGCATGTGGAATTGAAGATGGATACATTTTTTAAAAAAGCTAGACCCTTGGGGTAGTAGGATTGTAGATCAGTTTTTTCCATTTAAAATTTCTATTTCCCTTATAACAATTTTATAACTAAAAAATCAAACATTAGTTTATAATTTAAAATAATAATATTTATATTTTCCACTTGGTCAAAACATTTTTGTGAAAGTAGAGTTATTAATTCTGGATATTTGGGAAGTATAGGAACTAACTCAGGAAATGGTCTTGTGCTGAGTGCTGTTACACTTCTGCTGCACCAACAGTGGCATGCACACTGGAGAAATTAGGGCCCCGGAGGAGAGAGT